AGAGATGCTGTAGAGGTGAAATGGATCAGAGATGCAGCAGAGGTGAAATCAACCAGAGATGCTGCAGAGGTGAAATTGACCAGAGATACTGCCTTTGAAGTTCAGAACAAGTGATGTAAAGAGGTGAATGTGACCTGAAGCAGCACCAGGAACATCCAGGCTAGGTCCAAGAACAATAATTGGCATCAATGTAGCACTTTATAAATATTATCTCATGGTCCTTACAACGACCCTTTGAGTGAGGTGCTATTATTATCCTCATTTTACAGATGAGGAAACTGAGGAAAAATAGAAGTCAAATGACTAGCCCAGTATCACACAGTTAAGTGATTAAGCAACATTTGAACTCAGGTCTTCTTGACTCCTCTGGTGCAGCTAAGTGGGTCCATTGGACATGATGAGGATGTACTTTCCCACAAGGCCAAATCTCTGGCATTGGCCTGAGGCTATAATCCCATCAACTGGTCCTTTCATCGTGGCTACACCCAGTCTCCCAATTCTGTTACCCTGGACCTAGCCTAGCCCTCCATTGTCTTACCTCCTTAAGGTCCCAGGCCACTTCCCACTCTTAATCCTAGCTAGGCTCCAGTCTCCCTTGGCCATGTGGTCCAGGTTCCTGGAGTTATATTACTTCATAGACTACTTGGCCACTCCTAGATCCTTCCCATAGTCTTTCTGTATATAAGGTCCATCTTGTCTCCATTAAGATGATTAGATTCTTAGAATCTAGCCAATAGCTCGCTAACATTCAGACTCCTTAAAAGTCTGCCCAGTATGATAGATGTTCTAATAAACCTTGTCTTTGGCTGAAAGAAGGCTTGGGTCAAATTCTTTCGGGCAGGACCTGCGAGTTCTGATTTTGAGGTTCCAGCACCCCTAAACCTCAACAGACAGAGCACTGGGTTTGGAATCAGGAAGACTCAGCTTCTTGAGTTTGAATATAGCCTCAGACACTTATTAGCTGTGTGACCCTAGGCAAGTCACTTAACCCTTTTTTTTTTTACTTCAGCTCCTCATCTGAAAAATGAGCTGGAGAAGGAAATGGCAAACTACTCCAGTACCTTTGCCAAAAAAACCCCAAACAGGGTCAACAAAGAGTCCGACAGGACTGAAAAACAGCAACAACAAAACTTCCTGGATCTTGGCTCAGCAGTTCTATCCTGCATATCACCTAATTTCCCCTGCCTTTGAGGCAGCAAAGATCATGACTCTTCCTGTGGAGTCACCAATCCACATCCAGGGTCTGGGATCCTCAAGATCCCTATCCTCCAAATCTTTAACTCATCAGAGATTCCTGAGCCACTGCTCCCCTTTTTCTGTGGGGCCTGGGTATATACTTGAACCTCCTCTTTGTCTGTAGAAAGCAAGTCACCTTCCAACATGCCACCCCTTAGGATATCTACAAACTCTGGGCTTTTGATTTGGTTTGAATTCCCTCCCTCAGGCCACAGTCTGGCCAAGTGTACAATTTACAGGACTGAGGACTGCCCTCCAGCGGTCTCCTTTCCCAAGAGACATTCAAAACCAAACATTCCTTCCCTATTCATACACAAATAACGCTCCACTAAAACTGGGAGGGACCTGCCTTCTTAGACATTACCTCCTTTTTCTTCTTTTATCCTTTTCTATCACTTTCCCATCTTCCCAAAGTCAAACCTCTTCCCTCTGGCTGTTCAGGGTTAAAGTGAGTTCTAGTAGAACTTGGAAGAGGTTTAAATTACCCAGCTGAAAGTAATAATAACAATGACAACAACACCAACAACAATAATAATAATAGTAGGGGAAGGGAATAAGCACATGTATAGCACCTACCACGTGCCAGGCACTGTGCTAAGCATTTTACAAATGATCTGCTCACAATATCCTATGTGGATGGTAGGATTTTATAGTTGAGGAGACTGAGGCAGAGATTAAGTGACTTGCCAAAGGTTATACAGCTAGTAAGTGTCTAAGGCTGAATTTGAACTCAGGTCTTCCTGACTCCAGGCCCAGCTCTCTCTGCAATGTGGTACCCCCTGGCTGGCTACAGCAGAGGTGGTGGGCATAAAAGACAGATTACTGAAATGACATTCACAGTCTTCCAGGTACAGCACGTTTTTATCAGTCTCTTCTTGACGAATGGTTACAAAGGGTTTCACCAATAATCTCGGTGGGGGGTTCCTCATGGTAACCAATTGCTCTCTAGGGACACCAACAAAAACACCTTCAGAAGCAAGGGAGGACAGCTGGGAGCACTTTTCTATGCTTATTCCATCCTGAAGTCAGGAGGACCTGAATTCAAATCCAGCCGCAGAGACTTCCTAGCTGTGTGACCCTGGGCAAATCTCTTAACCCTATTTGCCTCAGTTTCCTCATCTGCAAAATGAGCTGGAGAAAGAAATGGCAAACCACTCCAGTATCTCTGCCAAGAAAACCCCAAATGGGGTCTCAGAGAGTCAGACTCAACACAACAAAAACAGCAGTGTTCCTTAGCACAGTGCCTGGCACAGAGTGCTTGTTGACTTTCAAGTTGGTCCAAGATCGGACTGGCTAAACAGCCAATCAACTTCCTCCTTCTCCACCCTGGCAGGGAGGCCCATACCTACCCAGGGGAAAGGGACTTAAGACCCCAACCTAGGGCCCCTCCTCAGGCTTATCTGACCAACCCAATGTTTTGTTTTGTTTTACAAAAGAGGAAACTGAGGCCCCAGGCATTGAAATGACTCACCTGTGGTCACACCAAGGTCAGGGTTGAAGGTGGGCTTTGGAACCCACTCTCTCTAGATGCCACCACAAAGCCAGCCCTCAAACCTCAGCAAAGGAGATTGAAAAGGGGACTTTGATCTACTTTCCACTCTGCCTTTGGCCTGTGAGCATTAGGTTCTCGTGGGACCCCTTGGAAAAGGGTCACAGACTCAAAGTGCAAAGACCTGGGCTTGGGTCTCCACTCTACTCCTGACTCACCTGGTGACCTCCCAATCTCATACCTACTTTCTCTGACCCCATCTCTCTGACTTTGGGATGGCTGTATCATCATGTGAAAAGACAGGAATCTGACTAAAGCCCCCCTGTCTCCAGGGATCTCGGTGCCTGTCTCAAGACTGCATCTTCAGGGGAGGTTTAGGGTTTAAAAACTGGGAGCCCTGAACCCCAGAGTTGTTTGGATGTAATTGGGCATCATCAGATTTACAATCTCGCCTCCAGAGATGAAGAATGGGTAAGAAAGCTCCTGGTCTGAGGGCATTAGATAGTTGAGGGGGGCTTGGAGCTAAAGAGCTTGGTGCCTGGGAGAGTGAATTTCCATCTGAGAAGATCAGAGGATTTTCTGACTCTTTTTTTTTTTTAAAGAACTGGAAAAAGCCTTTTTCTTTTTAAAAAAAATTGGCTTTAAGCTAAAAGAGCATGGTGGCCATCCTTGGTAGCTAAGGATTCCAGCTTAGCCAGAAGCAATAGGAAGTGGAGCAGTAGAGATTCTACATCCAGGGGAGCAGGAGATGCTGAGGTCATGCCCAGTGCACAGGAATATCACTGGAAGATTCCAGGGGCCCTGCCTTGGGGAAGGCATGAATCAGCTCTCCTCTGGACACATTTTTCGTGTGTCAACCCCTCCATGCGTGTTCTCTATTTGCAGCCACTCTCGCCATAGACACTATGAATGTTTGTGAGAGAACATGACCCAGGTTTATAGGGGAAAAGATTTGTTGCTATGTTTCTTATTATACCATTTCACTAAATGCCTTAATTATGAACTAACTATATTCTCTGGCTGACTATTAAAGGTAAACACATTGGTGGAGGTTCAGGGAGTTTGATTTTTTTTTTATGGAGATGTGAATCTATGGAGTCCCTTGGATCTGAGGAAACTGTTCTGGGGGGGGGGTACCAGCCCTTCCACAGGAGGGGGGACAGATTTCCAGTCCCTCCAGACACAATGCATGAATGTTTGCATATTGCACACACCAGTCTCTGAGGCCTCCTTCTGGCCCAGCTCTGCTTCTTCAGACCTCCTTATCATCTTATCTCCCCCCCTCCTTCCCAACTGCATAACTGCTTGGAAATCTTCCCACTTTCGAGAATGTAAAAGCCCTGGGGGACTCCTATGCTCTGCTTGGCTCCCTCCCTGCTAGACTGGGAAGAGAGCTGGCAGGCAGACCCATAGGACCACAGTGTCTTTGAGGAGGAGAAAGGAGAGGGGCATGCAACTTCTGCTCCCAGCCCAGTCCCCCAAGGCCAGGGCAGGAGCAATCAGGTCCAGGCCCTCACCTCGGCTGCTTCTGGCTCTGGCCTCAGGCAGATCAGATTCCCCTCCAGAGTGAGTATGTGGAGTTTCTTGCAGAGACCCAGGTAGCGCACCTGCTCAAGGTTCTCAATGTTGTTGCCCTCCAGGTCCAGAACCTCGAGCTGATCCAGCAGACAGATTTGGCTCAAGTCAGAAATATTGTTGTAGGACATGTAGAGCTCCTGGGGAGACAAAAGGGGCCATGAGCCTGGACGCTGCCCTCTGGTGGGAGTGTGGGGAACAAAACCCAGACAATACCTTCAGGACTGGGCATACCCTAAACATGCCAGCCAAATCCCCAGAGCTCCTGGGGAGACAAAGGGGGTTATGAGCATGGATGCTGCCCCCTGGTGGGAGCATGGGGGACAGCCAAAGGGTCTGAAGAATTCCTGGGGAGGCCAAAGTGGCTGTGAGCCAGCACTCTGGTCCTGCTTGGGGATGGGGATGGAGAGAGCCCTAACAGGGAGTTGGGGCCCAGGGAGGGTCAATGAGGAAGCAGCCTCTGCATTTCCTGAGCACTGACCTATCCGACTGGATCCTGGAGCAGCCCAGGGGTGGGAAGAAGGAACCCCCTGGGCCCAGCAGCCCAGAGACATGCCCTTCCCCAGCCCCCCAGTCAGCTGCTTGTCAGGGGCATGCAGGTATGGGGCACACTCCCTAGATCCAGAGTAAAGAGCCAAAGTGGTGATGAGTCTATCAGGGGACCCCTGCCCTGGCTACTACCACCAGAAGAATGGGGAAAGGGGGAGCTGGGTTCTGAAGCAATATACTCCAAGGAGATGAAGGGTCCACGCCCCTGGGGAGTTAACTTGGGTCGAAAGCTCTTCAGGAAGGACCCCGAGGGGGAGGGGGAGGGGCCCATCTGCAGCTGCATCTGCCTTCCCGGAGCGGCACAGGCAGAGTGGGGACCTCAGCCTGGGATTTCGGTGGGCTGGTCTTCCTGAAGTCCCAGCAAAACCCACTTTGGACTCTAGGCAGATGGTGTTTCTACCGAGCAGAGTCCAGAGACACTATTAAGAAACAACCCCCAAATGCTTTTGTGCAGAACTTTGAGGTCCAGGTGCAGAGGCAGAGATGGGAGGAACAGCGGCTGGGCCAGACAGAGGCTGAGCCCTGGGTGGAGCCTGACCACCTGGATGAGGCGGGTTCTGGGTGCCACCTTCTGGAAGTCTGCGCTGGCCTGGCATGATTGGCCCAGGGCCCTGGGGACCCCTTAGACGCCTCCTCAAGGTCATAACCCTGGGCAGCCCTTAGGATGCCAGGTATACCCGGGTGCAGAGGCAGAGCCCAAAAGCCAGTGCTGGGTCCAACCAGCCCTTTGGCCCCTCCTGGCCTCACTTTCATCTCCTGGTCATTCTGACCTTCAGATCAGCCAGCCCTTTCCTTTGGAAGCCTTTGCCCTCTTGTCCCATCAGCTCCTGGGCCTGGCCGAACTGTAGCCCTGGGAACGGTGCCGCCTGGGTGGGGTTGCCACACATGACCATCCTCTATTGACACAGGGCTCTGGAGAGGGCAGCGCAATTAGGGTTAGCCGTGTTGGCTGGTGGGGGCTGGGGCTCTCTTGGGGAAAGGATAAGGATCAGGGAAGGGGCTGGTGCCCTGTGCAGGGAAATGGGTCAGGGAGAAAGCAAAGCCCCTCAGCCTTCATCTTGGCTGTTTTCTTCAGCAAAGAGAATGCCTTTGCTTGCACTGGGAAGGTCAGAACAAAGAGGACAGAGAGGCAGAGAGATCAGCAGCCCAGCAAGACCTCCTCTGGAAGTGGCCCATGAGATGGCTGAAGCCCCATCAGGGATATCCGAAAGACTGTGGCCTGGGGAGAGATGGTGCCACTGGGCAGAAGGACACATGTGTGGACAACTTTATGCCTTGGATACTTGTCAAATCTGCAAATGACCAAGAGCTGGGAGGGATAGCACGCATATCCCAAGACCAAGTCCAAGTGCCAAAGGTCTTGACCAGTAGGTCACTGGCCCAACCCAAAGAAGATGGGGTTTTTCTGGATTGGACCCATGACTTTATCGGCATGGGGGCTCAGTAAGACATCTCACCCACCAGTGCTGGGGAGGGTCTGCTCTGGGACTTAGACAGAGGGGCACTGCACAGCCAGTGTGCCTCAGAAGTAGCACTTGAACTCAGCTCTCTCCTGTCTCTGGGTCTCTCTCTCTCTATCCACTGTGCTGTGAAATTTAAGATGAAAAATGGAAAACTGATGCTTGAGATCAACTTCCCCAGCTCAAGGTGAGGGTGGGAGGATGGCAAGGTAGCATAGCATCTGAAGAGAGTCTGGGGGCTTTAAAAAGCCGACTTCCAGCTTGGGGTGAGGCCAAAGCTGAGAGCTGGAAGGTCTACCTTCTGGGGCAACAGAATCAACGCTGCCTCCATCCCCTGCCCATCAGATGCAGTCAGGAGGCCTCTGGTCAGTTCTGAGTGGTACTGGGCTCCCTCCAAAGGCAGTGAGTTTCCCACCCCTGAAGGGCTTCAAGCAGAGGTTGGGATGTTGAAGGAAGAACTCTCATTAAGCTTTGGTAGAGACTGGAGGTCCAGCTCGAGTCCCGAGTCCCAGCATCTCCTCACTGGCCAGGTGCTCTGAAGCCTCTGTGGCGGTGGATTCTGGACCCCAGAGCAGCAGCACAGGCAGAGGACAACAGTAACTGAGGCAGCAGCAGCAGCAGCTCCAACCTCCTCCCTATGCCTGGGCCGGCTGCTTCCAGTGGCCCACCTAATGTCCTCTCCAAGCTCCTTCTGGTTTGCTTTCCTTGCTTTATTTTGATTTCTTTAAAACACGCAGACACCTGGGTGTTTGACAGACTGGCCCCTGGCCCCCAGGCCCCGTCAGGAGAACATTCCCTGCTAAGAGCTAGATTAGGGCCTAGGGGTGGGCGACTGTGTCCTTGAACGAGGCAGCCTGGCGGCTGGAACCCATGCGCACCCGGCCTCCAGGCCCTGTGCTCCTCACTCCACCCCAGTTGGCCCAGGCTCCCCAAGGGCCTCTGGACTCCTCTTTTTTCCCTCCAGGGGGCTGTTCCTTGACAGCCCAGCCCTCAGGCATGTGCCTTGTTTCTGACTTTTGGCTATCCCGGGTTATGCTGTGGTCAAAGTCTTCTGTGCGTGTAGTGTAGGCTTTTCCTCATCCTCAGTAGCCTACCCTCAATCCCTTAGGAGAATTCTCCCGACTTTAAACCCCAGGGAATCCCAAGGGTCCCCTTTGGTATGTGAGTAAAGCAGGAGGCCTGAAGGCTCCCAGGGCTGCCCAGAAGAGCCCTTGAGCTTGTTCTCAGAGCTGACCTCCCCCCTCCTTGCCAGGCCTGAGAGGAGACTTGGGGGCTGAGAGCCAAGGGGCTGAGGGCATCCTGGGGAACCTTGACCCTGAGAGGACCCAGGAGAGAACACATCCGGGCAGTGCTCCAGTTTCCTGGGGACGCCAGGGCTCCCGGGGGTCTACAGAAAGCAACTTACCTTCAGGGAGTGAAGGGAACTGATTCCGTCCAAGTCTGCCAGCCCGCAACGAACCATCCACAGAATCTGAAGGTGAGACAGGGAGGTGCCCAGGTCCCTTGGAAGAGATCAGAGAGGAGACTGTGGTAAATGAGGGAAGGGTCTTCAGGAGGAAAAGACCAAAGGTTCTCTGTCCCATTGAGACTACTGCCTCCCCTAACAATGTTCGCTTTAGCAGCAAAGATGATAACCGACCCATTTTACAGCTGAGGGAAGAGAGACAAGCAAAGGTTAAGTGACCTGCCACAGCTAGTAAGTGTCTGAGGCCGGATTTGAACTCGGGGTCATCCTGAATCCGGGCCCAGAGCCCTGTTCCCTGCGCCACCAGCTACCCCTGAGAAGGGTCAGAGAAATGAAGAAGAGGGGTGCCCCGTTATTCTCTGCTGGCTCTTGGTCTCTTGGCTAACTTGCTGACAGCAGAGGTCGCTCTTGTCTCTGCAGGCCCAGGGAACCTCCCAGAACCCACTCAGAGGGAAAGCTGTTGCCCTTGTGGTGATTCCGGTGGGCCTCAGGACCTTGGAAAGGGAACATGGAGAGCCTGACCAGAGGCGCAGGCAGTCCATGGGGGTGGGGGAGTGTTTTATCTCTGCAGGCAGATTTGGGACGTTAACAGTGGAGTAGGAGGACAGGGGTGGAGTCTGAATTTGAGCTCGGGATTTCTGGGCCACAGAGTAAAACACAGGCATGGCAGGCTCCTGGCAAGAGATGGAGGACCCCTGAAGGGAATCAGAAGGAACCTCAGTGGCACCCTGTACTATCGTCCTGGGTGATCTCATCAGTGGTCATCTCTACTAGGATGATTCTTACCTTTGACCTCTCTTTCAAGGGCCAGTCTCAAATAGCCAATCGCTGATTAAAGCAGATGTCCCATAGGTGTCCAAAATGGAGCTCATTCTCTCCCCTCACCCGAACCCTTCCTTCTTCCTACTGTGCCTTCTCTATTATTGTTGAGAACACCACCATCCTCCTGGGCTCAAATCCAGGGGTCTTCTCTGACCCCTCACTCTCTCTCAACCTTGGTAAGGTCTCATGTGCACTCTCCCTTCTCTCCTCTGACGCTGCTACTACTCAGCACTTCACATCTAGACACTTGCTATGGCTGCTGGCTGGTTTCCATGACTCAAGTCTCTCCCCACTCCAGTCCATCCACTCAGCTGCCAAAGTGATCTTCTTAAAGTCCAAGGCTGACTACATTACCTTCCTCCTCCCACTCAATCACCTCCAAGCTCAAATATCAAATCCTCTGCTTGGCTTTTAGAGCCCTTCATGACTGCCTGGCCCCTTCCTCATTTCTTACAGCACAATGGTATCTGTCCCTTCTGCAGACCATAGTTTATTCAGCCACTGCTCAATTGATAGGCATTTCTTGAGTTTTCAAGTTTTTGCCATCATAGAATGAACTATTATCTGTTTTATGGAAGAATTTGTTTTACTTGATTATGCATATTACAAGCAATTTTTTCCCTTTTCTCTGTCTTTTTTAATGGAATGGGAAATTGGAGGAAAAAAAATAGATTTCTATTAATTAAAAAATCACTCTCCCTACATCCCAACACTATCGCCTGGGTAAGTGGAAGAAATTCAAGGCGGAAACCACACTCTCCCTTGGAGAGGGATGGGCCAAATTCCAGAGGTATTTCTCCATGCTGCCTTCAAGGCACATCTATCCAGTTAAGTAGCCTCTTCTACTTATGGCCCTTTTAAATGCCAGGATCACAGATCTGGGACGCCCACACTTGGCAGATGTAAGCTGTGTATCCATATGGGTCACTTAAATAGCCCTAAACTTCTGAAGAGAAAGAAGGTCCTCTTCAGGACACGAATCTATTGGTTTGGTAGTTAATTAGGGCAGCACACATTTATAGGATGCTTTAAGATGTGCTATCTCATTTAACCTGTCAAAATACATCGGAGGCCCCCTGTTTCCCAGAGCCAAAGCCCAGCCAGCAGGCTGTGCCCTGAGCTTGGCATAACAACCATCCTTTGTGCTCTGGGTGCTCTCACCCTCTGGCAAAGTGTACTGCTTTGACCAAGCACCAGGTGTTCACCAAGGACCTGAGAGCACCTTGCTTGGCTTCCTCACAATCCCAATTCTATGTAAGAGCTAAGTGCTGCACTCCTCTGGGAGACAATCAACTTGGAGACTGTTCCAGGACCCAGGAACACCTGGAGAAGTGTTGCCCTGAGCAAAAGTGGGCTGCCTTGCCTTCCCCGAGACCTGCATGGGAGAGAAAGGGGAGCCCAGCTGGAGCTGGCAGCTCAGTGCCGGAGAGGACAGAATTGGCCATTTTTTGTTCTCTGTGTGTGTGTGTGTGTGTGTGTGTGCGTGCATGCGTGTGTGTGTGTGTGTGTGTGTGTGTGTGTGTGCATGTGTTCCTGATGAATTTGGATAAAAGAGAAATTCAGAACTGTGGTGGCCATCGTAGGGTAGAAGGGACCATAGGGGCACATCATTCAGTCCAACCCTTCCATTTTACAGATGAGGACACCGAGACCCAGAGAGGTCCTAGAATCGGTCAGTCAGCTAACATTTCTCAGGTGACTACTTTGTGCCGGGCATGGTGCCAACTCCTGGGGATACAAAGAAAGACAAAAGCCCCTCCCCCATTCTCAGGGAGCTCCCAGTCTAATGGCACAAACGATATACAGGATAAAGTGAAGATAACAGAGAGAACGTGACAGAAGTAAGGGAGATCAGAGATCTGGAGATGAAATCAATTTTAGAGGCCGCTGAGTCCAATGCCTTCATTGGTTCAGATGACGAAACGGAGTCACACTGAGGTCATAGGATTGTAAATCTGGAGCTGAAATGGGACCGCCTAACTCCTCCCCCCCTCCGTTTTACTAGGAACAGTGAGGGTCACCTAGCTAGTAAGTGCCTGAGGGAAGATTCCCAGCCAGGTCCTCCCACATGCAAGGATGCCGCTTCAGAAAACCCAACCCCAGCCACGTTGGGACCCTGGAACCCGGGGCAGGAGTGAGACAGATGGTGTGTTACATGATGTCATGGCGTGGTATACATTGTATCCTGTCACATAATAGCAGCTCATGAATGAACATCGTGGGGTCCCTAGGCTTATGAAATTAGGATGATTTTCCCTATTTGTAGACAGGATTTCTCCACAAGCTTCCAGAGAAATACTCTGAGTGCTCCAAAGTAAGAATGTGTCTCTCAAACGAAATAAACAAGATCATGTGATTGGAGGTCAGGGGTCGCCACTCTTCTGCTCTGCGGCTTCAGGGAGCATGGGTTTGCTCCTTTCCTGTTTCCTTAGAATCAGCAGCCCAGCCTCTGCTGGAGACCTCCGTCTCTGGATTCCCAGGGTCCCCAGCCCCGCTTGGTCCCTAACAGCTGACCGGCTGGACCCCTCGCCTTCCCACTCATCTCCTTCATGTCCCATCAGCCTGTTTCCCGCTCACCTAGAGCCTCCCAGCCTGTGTTGACAATTTCATCACCTGGGGAAATTGAGTGAGAGACCTGGGCGTGTCCTCTATCCTTGGGCTAGGTGTCAGCTGGTCAAGGTGATTTTCTGCCTGGTCAGCCAGAAAACCAGCTTGGGGAAGCAGGTGGCATCTGTCTCTGGTGCTTCTTGGAGGGTACATTTGCCTCCAGGCCTGTTTTTCTTTCCCCCCTCATTGACTAGATACAGAGTCATCTAAAGGTTAAATTTTTTGGCACCCATTCTCCATGGCCCAGTGGCACCTGGGGGATCAGAAGGAGAAAGGCAGTTACTGACTAGTACATCCAAGCCCTTGCTCTGATAGTAAGTTCATACTGCTATCCAGAGAAAATAAAAGCGATTTGGGTTTCCTGTCATTTTCACCAAGAAAGGACAGGTATAGCTATGGACCAACAGAGATCAAGAATGTCTAAGCAGCCAGGTAACCCTTCAATGGCACTCCAGAGGGCAGCCCCTTCATGGGGCATGAGGGCAGAGTCCCAGGCCCTCCTTTGCAGAAGGGAGACTAAAGAGGCATGAGTCCCTGGGTCCTGGGAAGCCCTTTGGGGGCTGATACTGCACTTGTCTGATGCCATTAGAAAGAGCACAAAGGCTTTTCTTTGAGAAGGGGCTGGCTGCAAGCAACCTGAACAGGTATATTTTATGAGATGTGGAAGATCTCTCTTTTTTCTGGCATCATTCTCAGGGTGAATCAGGGGTGTCATCACAAAATAAGGAAAGATGGTCCCCTGACCCGCATCCATCAAAGTACTGCCTGCTTCATTCTCTACCCTCAGCTAATAAAACTTGTCTTTACTTGGCTGAGAAAAGGCCCCATATAAATAAGTGTGTGTATCAGTTGACAGGGCTGAGAGGCATTCTTTGGAACCATATATCATGTGGCAAACAGGAGAAGTTACTGTGGGAGGAGAGGCCTGGAGGTCACCCACCTTGGAGCTCACATTTTGTTGAAACAAAGAACGACACCTGAAAGTACATATCAAGCCTCTCTCACTTCTTTCTGGTACACTACTATGCAGGGACCTCCCTGAGCCCTTCTTGTGATGGTATCACCTCCTCCTCCTTTCCTCCTCCTGCCAGCCCGGGAGGTTGTGACATGCCACGCCAATCTACATCAGAATCAGGCTAACTCGGGCAGTGGTGCACTCTGAGTTCCACATTTTTATGTTTCTACAATTAAGGCTCTTTCCAGCCCTGGGTCCCAGGATAATGTGAATTGGGATCACTCAGGACTGGGAGATTCTGGGATGCCTCCACCTCAACAAGAGTGCTGTAGGGTGCAGACTGTGCTATTGGACCCTATGACCAAAGAGATCAAGCTCTAGGAAGGTCATGGAGACCTCTATTAATAGCAACAATGCTGGACACTGGGCTAAGCACTTTATAATTATGATCCCATTGGATCCTCACAACAACCTGGGGAGGTAGGGGCTATTATGATCCCCATTTTACAGTTGAGGAACCTGAGACAGACAAAGGTTCAGTGACTTGCCCAGGGTCACACAGCTAGGAAGTGTCTGAGGCTGGATTTGAACTCAGATCTCCCTGACTCCAGGCCCGGCACTCTGGGCATTGTGGTGGCCCCTTAGCTACCATCTCTGAAGGGTCCAGAGCAACTTCTCATCACCTGTGACTCAGGGATTGCCCTGTGCTGTGTATTGATGAAAAAGACCAGGAGAGAGCATATAGAGGTTTGCCTGGGGAAGAGGCCCTGGGGAGTTGGCGGCATCCCAGTACTGGTGGACATGAGACCTGAGATCAAACATGAGCGGTCAAGAAAACCGGTGACGCTGGGAGACAAGTGTGCAGACGGATTCCCATGGTGGTGGAGCCCAGCCTTGGCTATCTAGGCCCCAGATCATCTGCAGCTGTGCCCTCCTTGTCTTGCCCCCTGCCCCAAGGTCTTCCCCTCCCAGGGCCCAATATAAGTCACCTGAAGGAGGAGAGGAGAGCTGGGGCAGGACAGGGGACAAGGAAAGGGTGCTCTTCTGTCTGTTACAAGACCTACCCCTGTGGGAGTGAAGGAGCCTGGGACATTGTGTCTGGAGGATCCCAAGGAACCCAGGAAGGTCAGGCACAGAAACCGTGACACAGGCAGGGATGGGCAACGGTCAGTGTTCTGGGAGGGGCCCCCAGCCCTTCCCAACAAAGACAAGGGAGGAGGACTGGTCCTGGACGGGGCAGAAAGCAGGGCAGGATGGACCTCTTGGAGGCCACATCCTCAACCCCTGCCCGAACGGGAGCTGTCCTTGGTCCCCCGTGCACTGTCGCTGAAAATCTCCCTTCCCTCCCTCTGTGGGGCAGGAAGGACAGCCAAGGTGCTTACCTAATAGAGGCCAGCAGGCTGTTGTTCAGTTTCAATTGGCTCAGATTGGGCAGATGGGCACCTGTGCGGTCAGGAGAGGAGACCGTTGGTATCCAAGCAGCCAGCTGGCCGGCTGGAGAGCCTCCTTTCCAGAGCTCAGCTCCTCTCCCTCCCCCTTCCCCCTATCCTCATCCCAGGCCAGAGGACTGGCCACAAGGCCAAAGCCTGTCTGGCTATAGAGTCTGGCTGGGACTCCCCTTCTCATCACCCTCTCTCTGCCCCAGGCAGAGACCCTCTCCCCACCCCCCCCGCCCAAGACTGCAGCCTGTCCCTCTCCTCCAGGAGACCCCTGGTTGCAGCCTGTACAGCTCCAGTGACCTGCTACAGGCTCCTTCCATCCCCACCACTACCTACTCTCTCAGCAAGGCAATGCCAGGAGCACGGAGGGAGGACTTAGATGGAAGGAGTAGTGCTGCCTTCCCCGGAGCCAAGTACTGCCCAAAGCCTCTGTCCTGGCTCTGAAACAGGAGGACCCTGGCTGCCTGGTCTGAGCTGACTTTGTCCTTGTGAATGCCTCCGGGGGTAAGGGAAGGAGCAGATGCTCCTGGCCAGCTAACTTCTTCACCCATCTCCACTGCCCAGGAAAAGAAAGGCAACGTCTCCTCTGGAAAGCACTTCCCTACCCCGAACAGGGCCTCCCAGGACTCTGAGTCAGCTGGGGGAAATCTTGGAAGTTCTTGTAATTTCCTGGGCAGCTAGGGGACGCCACAGGGCACAGAGCCCCAGGCCGGGAGCCAGGGAGACTCATCTTCAAATCCAGCCTCAGACACCTACTAGCGGTGTGACCCTGGGCAAGTCACTTCACCCTGTTTGCCTCAGTTTCCTCATGCGTAAAAAGAGCTGGAGAAGGAGATGGCAAGCCACTCCAGTATCTTCCAGAAAACCCCCAAATGGGGTCCCCAAGAGTCAGACACAACTCAACAGCCACAGCAACGCTTTCCTGGGGCTCCAACCCCTAGGGAAGAGAGAGCAAGGAAAAGACCGGGCACAGTCAGGGGCAGTGCCCTGGAGCCGAAAAGCACTGACTTTGGGCAAGTCATAAAAGCTCTGGGCCTTAGTTTACCTATCTTTAAAATGGGGGTAATGTTGCTTGACCTATCAGCTACTCAGCCAACAAGCATTTCTTATGCTTGTACTATATGCTAAGCACTGTGCTAAGTGCTGGAGGAAAAAAAGGGGGTGGAAGCCCTCAGGGAGCTCACAGTTGAATGAGGGAGATGACACGCAAACAAGTAAGTACAATTAACATGTCACGAGGATAAATCATCCCAAGGGGAAGACACTACAATTAGAGGGTCCAGGAAGGGCTTCTTGCTGAAGGTGGGATGTTGACTGACACTTTTAGGCCACCAGGAGGTAGGGAGGAGGAGGAGGAGGGGGAGGGAGGAGGAGAGGAGGGAGAGATGATTGTTGAACTGACTTGCTGACCTACTCCCCATATTTCTGCTCTGCTTCTGGCTTCTACCTGGTGCTAATGGGCCTCTGAGCCCCTCCTCCCGCGCGTGGGCACGTCCTCATTCTGGGAACGTGAACTCGTTTGAAGACCAGCCCAGACAACAGTCAGAGGAAAGGGGATCTCTCCTCACCCTCTTCTCTCTGTCGTCGAGGCACTGGGCTCGGGCCAGTCAGGCAATAGGTTTGCTGTCCCCTGCCTGATCTGACCATGCTGTGCCCACGAAGCCCGGCTCTGGGAGGTGACCAGGGGAGGGGCCTCGGCCCTTCCCACCTTTACTAGACTGCTGCACCTGAGCCAGCTGGCCTCCGGGCCTCCACCTCTTGGCTTTCCTGGCTGCCTCCTTCCAGGCCCTCCATCTCTAAGCTGTTTGTACTTCACCTCCTCTGTTAGACTGGGAGCTCCTCAAGGACAGGGACATCCCTGGACAGCATTTAGCACAGTGCCAGGCCCAAAGGATGTACTTAACCAAAGTTTGTTGCCTGACTAATGAGGATTCAGGTATCAAGAAGGAGTTAGATACCTTTCAACTAAAATATTTGATGATTCTATGACTTTCCATGTATCTGCATGAAGTGTGCACTGTGTGCACCAGTGTACACATATGTGCTAATATACACATCCATGTATGCCCACACATGTGTGCCCCCCGTGTGCCCGTGTGTGCTAGTATACACATGAGTGTGTGCCTGCGTGTACATTTATAGCCAGTGGTCCCTGGTGGAGCCCAAGGCCCAGTGGGCAGGCCCTATAAGACCATGGGGCCAGGACGTGGGACATCCTACACAGGTGTGCCCCTGTGTGCCCATGTGTGCTAGCATACACATGTGTGTATGCCTGCGTGTGCTCATGTGCTCTTGCGTGTGTCCTAGGGGTAGGCTGTACGGGGAGGACACAACTCTTCTTACCAAAGTTTCCCAAGCTGTTCTCCCGCGTGTCTACACACATCTCCAGCACCGTCACCTGCTTCAGGTCCTCCACTTGAGCTAAAGCCTGCTGCAAAGACCATTGGGGGCATCAGGAGCTGGAACAGGCCAGCCGTCTTCCTGGCTTCTCCCCACAAAAGGGCGCGGACGGTGAAGACTCACAGCGCTGACCCTGCCTTTGGTCAGTTTCTTCCCAACTCCCTTTCGTCCCATCTGCTCCCAACTGAGGCAGAGCCAAATGAGGGCCCTTGGGGGAGGCCTTTCCCCCTCGCCTCATCAAGGACCACTCAGGAGTCCGGAGATCCTCCTTTACAACTACATGCTTTCAGGAAGGACGTTGACAAGCTGGGGAGGGGGCAGGTGGACTAGGGGTCTGTGCCCTGTGACGATGGGGTGGAGGAATTGAGGGCACGGAACCTGGAGAAAGGAAGGGTCAGGGGCTGCCAGAGATAGCTGTCATCAATTTGTGGGGGGCTCTGGGGCTGAAACAAAACCTGACTTGTTCTTCTTGGCCCCGAGGGCAGAACCCCTGGGAAGCAAAGGGGTAAGAATGCAAAAAGGCCAGCTGAGGCTCTCAGGGGCAGCAGCCTCCAGGAGCCCGGAAGCTCTGCCCAGAAGGGAGGTGACCAGTGCCGGGCAGTGCTGGTGGGGAAGCAAAGGCTCAGTCCCTTCCTCCCTGAGGAGTGCTGGGAGAAGAGGGGGAGGGGCTGCTCCTTCAGGTGGAGGTTGGACCAGAGGTCCAGTCAGGCTCTTCTGGGAGTCAGAGAATCCCAGGGCAAATCTCACTGAGGGCCTCTCTTTCAGACTCACTGCTAAGAGGACTTTGGTCCTGACTCTGCAGCTTGCCAAGGCCATGAGGCTGTCGTCTACTACTTTCACTTAGGCAAAAGGGACCAAACCCTTAATACTGCTTCTCAGTCCAATACACGACTCCCCTGAGGTCCACAGAAGGCACTTGGCACTGTTCTGTTCCCTAATTGTGCTATAGACAACCCAACCAAATACGGTTCAGAAGGAAAAGCTACCTGTAGTCGGGGGGGGGGGGTGAGATGGGGCTGAACCTGGGAGCTCCAGAGCCAGGGCCTGCAGGCCAGGGGAGCTAGGGAGGGAGCCAGCCACCTGCCCAAGCAGTTGGGGGCTGCCAGACTCACCAGCTTGGAGGGGGACAGGTACTGCTCGAACAGCACCTCAGCACTGTCATTGTCCTTTATCAGGGGCCTGGGGTTCTGGAGGCCGTGCCAGCTCAGATCAGTTACATGCACGCTGGCTGCCCCTGCCCGACGGCCTCGGTGGCTTCTGTCCCAGGGAGGGTCCATGTGCAGCTGAGCTAACCCTGGAAACAAAAGAGGGAGAATCAGGGCAAGAGGCAAGGGAGATCCAGCTCCCCTCCCTCTCTCCACCCTCCCCCCCCAAAAAAAGCAGCAAGAAAAAGCAACTGGTGAGGCCGGAGGATGGTGCAACAAGAGGTCCGGTCCTCTCTGAGCTGAGGGCCACCCTGTGGTGCCTTGCTCTGCCTGGGCCCCGAGCTGCCAACCTCCCCAGGATGGCTCTTGGGACCTCAGCCCCACACCTTCCATCACCCCATGTCTATCCTTGCTCTGTCCCGGGCTCTGAGCTAGCTGACAACCCCATACCTGCTGGGGTCCAGCAGCTGTGGAGACAAGAGGAGCCGGAGGTGGAGTATCATTGAAACCGGTCCCCACTTCACAGGGTTCAGTAAGAGCCCCCCCAGCCCCTACCAAGGAGAAGCTCAGGAGTTAAAAATGGGGGAAGGGCTTATTGGAGAGACAGGAAATCATTATGTCAAGAACCAAGAGAGTGAAGCAATGATGAGGGGCCAGAGAATCGCCCTAGAAATGGAGGAGCACATGCCTCCAGAGCTGAAGAAAGGCTTACAGAAGAACCGAAGGAAGAGGCCAAGAGTGGGACCCAAGCTCCTGGTCAAAGCCTTGAGGGAGGGTCAGCAAAGGAGAGGAGAAGCTGGCAGCCTTAGGGAATAGAACTGAGACCAAGTCAAGACAGAGCCCCGATGTGCACCACATGTGCCGTCTGCGGCTGGAGACAGTTTGCCGGAAGCATGCCATGAGCGCCCCGTGAGAATCCCTTCTGGCCGAAGCGAGGGCTGGCGCAGATCCAAGCACGGGTCACCACCAGAGAGAACCCCCAAGGCCGAGTATCCAGAGAACCTTGGCCGGTTGCACTCAGCGGCCGTCGTCAGAGAGGAGAGACGAGACCGTGACTGAACACAGGGCACATGCTGGGCATGTGGGAGGACCGAAGGCTCCTGAGGTCTGAGCAGCCTGCAAAGTTGGGTGGAACTCTCTAGGGACAACAGCCAGACCTCCCCGAAGAGATGACCACCAGCTCGGCTTCCATAAATTCCTGCTGAGAAAGCCAGAGTTGGGCAGAGGCTTCAATAGGTCGATGCAGGAGACTGAAAAAGTCTAGAAAGGGAAATAAACCTAAGCAGCTTGAATGGGCCGAGTGGTCACCAAGTAGTTACATTCAGAAATGGGGAGAAGAGGCGGGTCCCTTCAGAGCTTCATCATCTCTACCGGTCAGTGAGGAGACAAAGAGAAAAGCAACAGGGAAGAGGAGGAGAGGGAGGAATTTACTATTTCTTGTGAGTGGGGTGCCGAAGGAAAAGGACATGCAAACATAGGTGAGATGCAAGGATTATTATTTATCACTTATTAGGAGTGTCTGAATCCAGCTTTCTGGGACTAGACAACTGTCTGACCAAAAAGCTTACTGTAGACACCAGGCTGCTGACCTCAGAGACGCTCCAGGGAAGCGGGGTGGTTGTTAGGAAGACTGACAGCCCTCCGAGGGCTTGTCTTGGGCCCTCTGAGGTCTTGTTTTGGATCCATCCAGAGTGGTGTTTTGGGTTCCCCAAATTAAATTAACTTGCCTGCTGATAGACATCTGAAACTGCCCTTCTCTTAGAGACAACTTACTGCCTATGTGAGGCCAATGTGGCAATGTCCTATGTCCTTGTCTGAGTGCCAAAGAATGTCACCCCACAAAGACCATAGTGGGAACCAATACTTCTCTCCAGCTCTCACTCTCTCTACCAAACAACTCGACACATTTCTTTTTAAAACTATTTCAGATTTTGGTGACTGGTCTCATGAATGGCAGTTAGCGAGAGCAAGGCTCATGAAACTTTTTTTTTACCCAGGGTAGGCAAGGGAAAGTTATATACATACATACATATATAACTTATACACACACATACATGTTGTATGTGTGTATATATACATAAACTATACATATACATAGTCTGTATAGATATAAAATATACCTATACATATATACACATAAACATAGTATGTATATATACATAAAATATGCATATACATATATATCATACTGTTGAGGGCTATGATGGAGTGGGTTCCTAAGTCCAGGCCAGAACTTAAGTGAAGCCTGTTCTCACGAGAATGTGCTCATAGAACATCTGTTACTGGCTCTCCATGACCCTGAGAATTGATGTTTTTGCAGATAAAGTGAGGCACGGAGCCTGGGAAAACCAAATATCTTGTTCTCACACGTGTGATTTTTTGCTATATGAACTCTGACCCTTAGATCATTAAACGGTTTGCTATCTTGCATCCCGCCTGACCCGTGTCTTTCTTACACTGCGTCTCCGAGCCATTTAGGGAGCGCAGGTCACTCCCGACAATTGGCACCCGAACAGGAACCAGGGACCTGCTGAGACCTAGGACCAGACTCATCCTTCGGAGAAGAGCAGCTCCCTGAACAGGAGCTCCGCGCTATGGCGTAAGGCAAGGGAAGGCTCGGAAGAGTCACTTCGGCGACACTTTCACGTTATCCCGAGCATTCACACAGGCACAGTACATCTCATCAGTAATCAGGCTTAAACGGGGAGAGCAGCTGTATTTCAGAGACTAGCTCTGACAGAGGTGGATTAAGGCAAAAGATGGGGCAAATTCAGTTTAAGGAAAGAGAAGAGTCTTATACAAAGGTGCTTAAACAATTAATGAGAGAGAAAGGATTGTACTGTGCCTCAAAGCAAGTGAAAGAATTTTTAGATATAGTACATCAGTGTTCACCCTGGTTCCCGGAGGAAGGAACCAGAGATATAAAGAGATGGAAGGTAGTGGGAGAACAAATGAATGAATATTATCAACAGGTAGGTGCCGAAAAATTCCCAGTTACTACATTTTCATTATATAACATTATAAAAATTTGTCTCATGCACCCTACTGATGGCAGGGAGGTTCATACCTTTGACTAGGGCACACAAATGGAGAATGAAGAGACAGAAAGATATAGGGAAGAGTCTTGGTCAGATGACCCCTTAGAACCCACCGCCCCTCCACCTCCACCAGACCCTTTTCCTGATAATATGTTTAAAAAGGCCTCTGCTCCAGTTCAGAGAGACATCCTTGGAGCATTAAAATCTGAAGAAACAGTACCATCTGAGTTTCTTCAAGCTCTTCCTGTCCTTGAAATCCCTGATCCAGGAAATCCAGCTAATATTTTAAGACAACATGAAACCTTAAATTTCAAAATACTAAAAGAACTTAAACAGGTGGCTTCGTCTTATGGCCCTACTGCTCCTTATGTCATGACCTTATTAGATAATATTGCAACTACTGTTCTTTGTCCTTTTGACTGGTGTACCATTGCTAAAATATGTCCAGAAAGGGGAGATTTTTTGTTTTGAAAAGTGAATTATTATGATAATTGTACAAGAAGTTACTTCCGGTTTTTTGATTTTCCCTGTTATTACCATGTATCCGTTCTGTGTTTGTCTATGTGGTATGAGTGAGTGTCCTGTGTGTTATTTGACACCCTTTGTAGCCAGGTAGCAAAAATAGCTTTCCAGTTTCCAAGACTGCAGCTGGACTCTGGAATGCCGCTTTCTTTCTCTCCCCAGCTACCTCCCTGATTACAGCAGCCGCAGAGGAGCGGGTGGATGGGAGAGAGAAAGAAAGAAAAATATTTCATTATTTAGGCTATATGATTGGTAAAAGGCAAGTTAAGAAGGATCCTTGAACTGTCAGGTCAAAATTAGAAAGAAATAAGATATGTGCAGTTTTAAAGGGAATTTAATCCAAGTCCATCTGAAGAAAAGGTAACAAAGTTTAAGCATATAGAAATGAAAGAAGTATAGGTAAAAAGAAAAGCATAATCTATTTGCAAGAACAATGTGAACAGAGGGTTTGGTTTTGAAACTTCTGAAGAATTGTTGGAAAAAATAAATCTTCTCTCTCTCTTTACATTCTAACTCTGGCCAAGTTTTAAATGTGGAGGGGGAGACAAGAAAGATGGGGAACCTTTTCTCCCCAGATAAATATACAGGTAGCACTTAATCTTTTCTGCCTCACATAAGAGAAAAGTTTTTGTGTACCAGAACAACTAAAAGGTATTTTAATTCATTCTGATAATATTTTAAATGAAATGTGATGTTTTTAACTTAATGCTTAAGTCAGAATTTATTATACTGTTTGGCATTAAAGTAAATTGGGAAAATGTATGGATCTGAAATTTGTTAACTGGGTGACATTAAACAAGTTACCTCATTTTATCTTACATGATTGGAAAGTGCCTAACACAATGCCTGGCAGAGGGCAGACACTAAAAATGTTAACAACTATTATTATTAGTTCCTTAATTAGATGTGACTGGTATACAATGTCAATGGCGAAGAGGTGCCCGATCTTCCATGTCAGGAAATTTGGAAATGTATTCAAAAGAATTGGAGTCACTTAATTGGTAATATGTTTGTTTCAAATCTTAAACACCTAGAATTGTTTCAAATTGGTAAACTTTTGTATTAGTTATATCAAGTAGCTTTTCGTAATTTGGATGTTATTAAAGTGTGAATTTAAAGAAACTAAATGACAGTGAAAAAATGGTGTAAAACCAGTTATATTACTTTGTCAGCCCTGCTAACCCTGTCTTATAATGCTTTATAACTGCCATTTAGAAAATCAGGTATTTCCATCTTTACCTGTAACTAAAGAAGAGCTTATAGCTAAACCAATTTGACTATCATTTATGAAAGCTATAAGATTGTTAACTAAGTTATTTGAAGTTACTGTTTTAATGTTAAAACCTAGATTGTCCTGTGACAATCACAGGCGGGTCTCTCTCTTAGTCATTGCTGGCAAGACTCTTGCCAGAGTCCTTCTTATCAGGCTGATCCTTCACCTGGAGGATGGTCATCTACCCGAGAGCCAGTGTGGCTTCAGAAAGGGCTGAGGAATGGTCGATATGGTGTTTGCTGCCCGACAACTCCAGGAGAAAGGCCAGGAGCAGAACAGAGGCCTGAGGACATTTGTCGATCTGACCAAGGCCTCTAAGACTGTCAGTTGTGAGGGCTTGTGGAAAGTTATAACAAACTTTGGTCGCCTGGAGAAGCGCATCAGTATTGTATGTCAGTTCCATGACAGCGTGCCTGCCCAGGTTCTGGATGTGGATGATGCTCTCACGCTCTCCCAGTCACCAGCGGAGTAAGGTAACAATAAAAATAAATACAGTCACCAGAGACTCGCAGGGAATCTACATAATTATGCTTCTGGGTAGGGCTCCAGTCCTCTGGTGGGGTCCCTCTCGAGCAAGGATGCCTCCTGTGGACATCTAGTCTACGTCCTCTTTCAAGGCCACTGCAGGAAGTCCACCCAATGCCCTGGGCTCTTTTCACACACTCCCAGGAGCACCAGACCGCCACTCAGTCCCTTTCACTAAGTGATGGGCCAATCATAGATGTTCACTGTGATGTCCCTCATGTCCCTTCTCCAGCACCATTCCTTGTGCGCTGTAAAAAACTGCACTTTACACACTAATAGGCACATATAGAAGAAAGAGGTGTAACTAGAGAGAGGTGTCTTGTTCTGGGGAAATGGAAGGGTTAAGGTTTTAATTGGACATGGAGCCACAGAATGCCTTAAAAGTGGGAGAGCCATGACTGCGGGCCTCATTCAGGAGGACCTAGATGGTAAGACTATCACTGTTGGGGACTTCAGTGTGCTTCTTTCAGATAAAGACAATCTAACAGAAGGATAAATGCAAAAGAAATTAATAATCTAGACAGAGTATTATTGAAAAATCAGTTATTGTAAGGGGAACACCTATTCCTCAGCATTGCACAGCATTTTTCTAAAAGTGACCATATGTGAGGACTTAAAGAACTCACGAATAAATATAGAAACAAAAACATCAAACACATCCTTATTGTCCACAATGAAATAAATTATAATAATAAAGGAAACATGAACAAATGACCCTGCAGTCGAAGAACCAATCATAGAAACAATAAAAAATATTAAAGAAAATTAAAACAATGAGACTACGTATCAAAATTTGTGATGTGATGTGTGTGTGTGTGTGTATGTGTGGTCAAAC